ATGGGGATAAGATGAGAGGAAAGCAGAGACCCAGAGACCAAAACGGGCGGAGTGCTACTACAACTGCTCTCCTGCCATTCGTTCCAAACTCTACTGAACGCCAAGGTTTACCTTGACAGGCTCTCAATCGGACAATCGCACCTTTTTCGCCGCCCGGTGCACAAAAGCTCAAACCAGTCTTTAATCCATGTTGTATCTGCCCACACGCACAGTCCCCGCCCAATTAAATTCGAACGAACCGTCCCCTGGGCCTTTCTTTCCTCCCTTCTCCTGTTCGAGAACGTGAGCAGTGCTTCCTTTTGGCGCCTCCGTGGCTGAAATCCTGTGTTTCTTCGACGCAGACACCCATCCTCCGTGCGGTCCCCCAACATCAGGTGAAATGTTACGACGTCACACTCCATTCAAGCCCGTTTGAAGTTGGTGCCGAACCTCCGGTGACGCCTGCCCATCGTTTCCTTGGCATCCAGCGGATGCAACTTCGTGATCTGGCGTGCGTGCAATCATCAAATGAAAGGGGGCGGGATGCCAATAACGGTAAGGCTTTGCCACATGTGAGGCTCTCTCAGAAGGGTATGCACAAGCCTCGGGCCATCATTTATTCGAGTCACAAGCGACAACGCCTCGGACTCAAGAGTCAAGGCCTCTTCGCTTCCTTCCTCCCGCTGGCCTTTTGCAATATCTCTGACGCACTGCCCCGGTGGATGCTGCGCCGCCGGAGAAAAGCTTGGCCTGGAAGGAAAGGGGGCTCGGCACCAAAGAGTGGACCACGACTAATTTACAGCAGCGACAACTCTAAATGCTCCCGCGAGTCAATCCCATCTTGGCTGGCGAAGTACCTGGGTCCTGACTCCATGCTCCCTCTAGCGCCGAAAGTAATTTCGATCTTCAACGTGGCCTTCAATTTCGACATCTAAGCTTAAACTGAAGTCCGACGATATATGATATGAGCCGTGTCTTCCAAGCGAGGGCGGATGTTCACGATGCCGGATTCTGCTAGATTGCAACATCGTTCATGTCATTCGGTTTGTAGGTGATGGGGCGAGGATTTCGCTCATGCTGGACTAAAGTACTCAAAGGAAAAACAACACTGCATCGCCAGGGAAGTTTGCGTACAATATCTTGGCCCTTGTGATGCTGCTGGAACGATTGCAACCGTCTGGAGCCTGGCCTTCTCTAGATGAAAAGGAAACAGCTATGAGATCACAAACATGCGAAATCATTTTAGTCACCTAAAACCCCATGACTCTACGTGTTACAGGGACGAAGTAATGCGCTTATGATTTTTCAGGGCGTGCATTGTAACTTCTGCGGAGAGTCTACATCAGTTCCTTGATGGCGTGAGCTCGTCAACTCAAGGAACCTAGTGGAGTAGCCTGAGTCCTTTCGACTGCGAGTCGGCTAGGATTCGTACATGGACGCTGCTTTCTCCGACTTCATTACAGCTACAAAGGTCATTATCTGTATAACAAGGCTTTTGTTCTTCTAGATATCCCATATCTTGCAGGCTAGTCGACAGGTAGCTGACGGAGCGGAGTGGCTGGACATGTCCTCGATAGGTACCCCATGGTTAAAGCTGCGGAGCTTCTCCCCTATCAATTGCTGAATTCCGCAAGTACACTGTGCTCTGGACAATATCTAGTGATGGAATGAGATGACGTTAATTCATAGGTATCTAACTGCTGACATTTCGTGCTCGTGCTGGAAGATGTGTCAGAGAAAACAGAGTGAAATGAGCGGGGTGGCTGACATTGAATACAAGGAGATAAAACCACGAGCTCATGTAGAAAAATGCTGACCGAAACTGCCTCATGCCAATTACCGTGACTCTGTACCTGTGAAGACCAACGTCACGTCCTGCATCATCACCCGTCCCCTTGCCTCTTTCTTGATATGCTGAATCCTACAGAGATAATCGAATCTCGACTCATCATGCCGTCGTCGGTTGGCACCTGTCAAGCGCCATTCGACCCTGGTACCACCGCTCCATTCTTTGACAAGACCCTGGTTGTCACCCCAATGCGAATCCGCTGTCAGCTTGTCCTGATCTTGAAATCTCCCGACAAGAAACCATTTCCTGATGTCGGAATGACGTTTACCAGCCTCAAACGCGTTCCGATAAACTCCCTCGTTGTTCGTGTACGAGATTGACGCACCACTGCGAACGAGCTTCTTGGTGGCTTCGAGCCGGCAATATGTGACGGCGCTCATCAGCGCACTTCCTTGGGAGCACCCTTCGTGATCCATATTTGCTCCGTGGCTAAGTAGCTCGTCAAGACATGAATCAAAGCCACGAATTGCTGCACTGCATAAGGGAGTATGTCCATCATAAGTACCACGATGAAGGTGGTGTTCGACTGCCCCACACCGGTTGAAAAGTCGCAAGAGATTTCTTAGCAGTCGACGATCGCCGTGCTGGGCAGCATACGCCAGTGGGTTTCCTGAGTCTTCGGCATCAATTTGATACAGTAGGCCGGAGTTGAGTATCAACGTCTCCAGCTCTGTGTTCGTGCCTCCGTAAAAGGAATAGGTGACTGCGCTGAGACCCATGGGGGCTGGGTGATACAGCGGGTCGAATCCTCTACTTTGAAGATATGAGAATATCTTTGGTGCCAAAGACTCATGCAATCGTGCTCTGTGTAAGGCAGTAAGTCCGTAGTTGTCGCATACAAGATCTAGCCCCGTGTTGGCCAACAGTTCAACCATCTCCATGCTACCATATTCAACAGCCCACATAAGTGCAGTCATTCCCTCTTCATCGCAACAGAACGGATCGGCTCCGGCAGCAAGAAGACTTTGGACCGCCTCAAAATTGGAAACATTTGCAGCCAAGGTAAGGGGAGTCATCTGATAGTTATCCCTAGCGTCTAGGTCAGCGCCGCAATCAATCAATGACTCGATACATTGTTGATTTTTAATTTCGACTGCATAGTGAAGTGCACTTGCAGACCACTCGCTGTTGAATGGCCATTTGTCATCCATGACTGAGGAATAGCGGCTGACACGACTCGCAGCAGCAGCAAGAAAGTCTTTCCAAGACGTCAATTTAGCCCATGGTATGCATCGATAAAGTTCCCTGCGAAATGCGTCAGTCGTCTAAATCGAGTTGGGTGAAATTGCATGAAGTAAGTACCTATAGGCATGAAAATTTGTTTCTACGTGAGCTTTCAATTGGAAGAGCGCTGAGGAACTTTGGGACAAAGCTGCGACGTGGAAAGGATTTAGGTCTGAATCCATTACATACGAACCCTGACGCAAGGACTCATCAAGCATTTTTCTCAGAGTTTTTGTTGGAACTTTGTGCCATATTCCCAGCAAGATCGCATTTCTCAGCCCAAGAGCGTGTTTGCGACACTGGGAGTCATCCAAGTTAGCTCTCTCCAAGATTATGTCGAGTACATGGGTGGCGTAATAGCTAGCGAAGTTCTCGATTGCGAAGAACAATGGCTTCATCGGGCATGCAATGCAACCGGGAAGTTCAGCTTCTGCAGAGATACCTGAGTTGAAAAGCCCTTTGCAAAGCTGTTCATCGTTCCTCAAGATGGCTAGGGCTAAGAGATGTACGGATGGTGGAATATCCCATTCCCAACTTGAATCGCCAGTCGTGTCCTCCTCATTCGGTGTCTGGAACAATGAACGTAAGATCGGAAAGCTAGACATCGCTGGTGATTGATTCTCAGCCAAAGATCGCAGGATACCGTCGTCTACGTTGAATGGGCCATCCAGAAGTTGATTGATGTAATTTATTTGCTTGGAGCTCAAGTTCGGGTCATTTTTAAGCAAAGTTTCGACAACAGAGCCGTGTCGTTCGGTTATGGCATATGACAAAGGCGAGGAAGATCCCGACTGTGGCCACTCCGGGGTAACCTCGATTGCGCTTTCGGAAGTAACGCTGAAGCTCAATATTTGAGTGATTGCTCTTGTTCGAAGCTCTTCGCAAGAATCAATCTGGTACCAGTTGCAAAATCTAGTATCCAGCAACTTTTCAGGAACGAATATGCGGCTTCCGACGATGGCACAACACAAATTTGATTGGGCGGTCTGATAGAGACTATGCATAGGTCTTTGGAAGACCGCTGACCACAATCGTGGCAGCCCCACGGCGGCTGCAAACTTCAGCGGCGTAAAGTCTGATACAAGAACCACAGAGAATAGTTCAAGCACGTTGTCCAATTCACTGCTCTCACTCGGCCTGTCGCCGTCTGGGACGAGCAACTCAGAAGCAGCGGGGCTGCGAAACGTTCTCCCAAATAGGGCACCAAACGCAAGCGCAACAAATGAGGTGCTTTTTTCCGGGCCAAACAACGCGCTCCATGCCTCAAAAAGCAAAGACTTTTCGATATGGATCCATATGATGTTGTGCTGTTTGTCGTCTGTAGAAGATGACCCGCACAACATACGAATAGAATAGTAATAAAAAGGATTTGCGAAGAAAGTACCAGTAATGGATTTCAAAAATTCGATGTTACCGGCATTTTTCTTGTTAAAGCAAACCTTCGTCATGAGTACGGAACGGAGACAAATCATAGAAAACTCAGTCAAAGCAGTCTCGTCGTCAAGCCTGAAGATTCCCACATCACTGTCGGGGTCGATGCTTCTGAGATATTCCTCGACGGTAAAATGTGCAAACTCGATGTAATCTTTCGTGACGTTCTCGTCGCGCCATTGTCGCTTTCTGACAAAACTGCGACATTCTTCGGCTATGTAGTCGACGTCTACCAAGTCATCATCGCTGACAAAAAGACCGTTTGAGTCCGCGATAGATACAGCTTGGCATAACTCGTGCAAAGAGAGATTTCTGTCGAGTGATATCCAGTGAAGGGACTTGCGGACAAGTTTTGTTATCTCGGGGCCTCTTCCCAGAATCCTTAGAAGGATTCTATGATACGTTTCTGGAAGCGTTGGAGGCAATGAGGATAGTGCCTCTCGGCGTGCACGGTTTGTGGTAAGCTCGCAGAGGTAATCGAGTTGACAGGCGACCCAGCGGAACCTCGAAACTGAGCTTAAGCCATTGAACTGCAGATTTCGATTTGATTGGATCAAACTCACATTCCTTGTGCTCCAGTGACAAGTTTTTCCCTGATTTCTTCTGCCAGATCCGGACTTTGAAGTCTCATTTTCTTTAACTGTCGCCGTTTGCCCATTTCCGCGCAGACGTAAAGATCAATGTCTTTTGAATGTGCTGCAATTTCGATGTGCGCGAAGTTCTCAGAGACTTCCTCGTTGATTTCTTGCTCGTCTCGGCTGAATATAGCGAGGCTTAGGGGGCGGCAACCCTCCGAAAGCTGTCTCAGCTCTGCAGCCACTTCACCCATGCCTGCACCACATTCATCGACGCCATCAACGACAAGAAAAACCTTCTCATACAAAGATGAAAGCCTCGAAATGAGATCCATCAGCATTTCTGCCTCTGGTTCCTTAGGGAGCCCCCCGCTAGGGTTCAAAAGTGTAAACTGATCCTCAAGCAGAGAAAAGGCCTCTTCATTCTGCTGAGACAGTTGAACAGCAATGGCACCGAGGATGTTGACCAGTTGTTGACTGTCGTGGTTCTTGTAGTCACAAAAGTAGAAAGCGACTGCTGTTGACTCGTTGCTCATTTGAAGGACATCATCGATGACAACGCCGCAGAGAACTGTCTTCCCAGCGCCGGGAATACCGCTCAGCCAGAGTGAAGAACTTGGGATGTCGCGCCATTTCTGGTAGGTTTGATTGCTTTCAGTGAGCCATAGTCCTGTCAAAGGCTGTCGGAGGCGCATCGAGGTCTGGAAGTTCGGCTGCGGGTTGACCTTCAAGAAGAAACTGACGACTTTCCGTCGGCGGTCATCCATTTCCACACGGCTCTGAATTTCGTTGATGCGGTCCACCTTACGTGACAATAGGCTAAGACCGGTCTTGATCTCATCTTGGCTCGCCAGAGATTGCAGCAATTTGTCGAGGGTTTCCGCCGAAAGAGCCAGCTCGAGAGTGCTGCGATGGGTAGCCATTTCTGTTGACAAAGACTTCGTCTCGTCGGCAGAGAACGGCACTTCAGCCTACGGAGAACAGCCTTTGCTTTGTTACCGGAATGAAAGTCGTCGTCCGCCTTTTTCAACCGTCCTTCAACCTTGTAAAGTGTATTGCTACATGCGTACAGATGGTGCGCCCTGAAAGTGGTAGCCGAATCTTGATCCTCTAGAGAGGATGCCAGTAGTGCAAGGTTCTGCAGGACGCCGGACAGATTTCGAGTCTGGCTCGCGAGCTCTTTGACATTTTTCTCAGCATTTTTTTGCTTCTTTGGCAAATTTGGTGACCTGCTGGAAGACGGCTGCCGACAGTGAGACGATGCCAGTGACAGAGGCTGCTATCGAGAGCGGATCGGACATGACGGGAACTGAAGCTCTGAGATGAGCGGAGTGAGCGCCACGGAGAGACGTGTTCCATACAAGAAGAGAGAGTTGAAGCTGGCTCTTGTCTTCGTGAAGACAAGGAGATGTTTGTGGGGAAATGAGGCTGCTGGCCTGATGACTGCCTTGCATTGTCACCCCCGCTCTGTGGCGCCCAAATTGTTGTCAGCCTGCATATGCATATACATCTGCGCCTTCATAAGGCAGTTTTCCAACCCAACCAGGCTGCCTGAAAAAGCAACAAATCGCTCATTGCCGTGATCAGTTCAATAAGCAGCGTTCAGGGGTATTTAGCCGATGAGTGCATTTAAGGCAAATGATCATCTCCGCTTCGCGGGGCGTTGGCATGCAATAGCTAGGTGGTTGGCCAGGATAGAGCCGTTCATTCTGCTTAGGCCGCGAAACTTGATTCTGGATTTCGATTGATAGACCAAAGCTACAAGTTCAGGGTAGCGAACTTTTACCCGCTGCTTTCGGTACGTACACATTGAACAACCTAGACGCGAACTTCCTCCTCAACCAGTCCAGTCGTGGATCTCCCTCTTAGGTTCCGCAAGCCTTGCCCGCGCAGGAGGTTCCCAAAGCCGATGAGGTAACACAACAGCCACTGCAGCTAGCAAACGTGCTCACGCCGTTGACGCAGCATGAACAGTTTTGTCGTTCCGTCTAAATACTCGAAAGCATCAAGTCAGCTTGTGCTAAACAGTCCATACAAAAACCAAAACGAACGAGTTTGTTTGATGTTTCAGCTGGACCAGCAGCTGCAGCCCCCAAGAGGAGGAAAATGGCCGACGCAACAGCGGTGAACTTCATGATGGCGATGGTTTTGATGTGTTTGCGCCAGAGAAAATCGCAGATACTTAGTCAGTCACAATCACTTCTTTTATACACCTTCAGCCATGTAAGCGCGCTTGTATGATTGTGATAGGTCTGACGCACCAAGGGGCGAAGGTTCAGCTATTGAAACCAAATCAAACCGCGCTAATCTTTAGGACTGTGGTGATCCTGCGGATTCTGTTGCGGAAAAAAGCGATACATTCTCTTAAGTCCCCGTGTTTGCGACGGATAACATGACGTTTTATTGAATACGATGCGCTCGGAAGTTGGCGAGACGGAGACAACCGAGCGGATTGACTCAGGTTCCTTGCCGCTTTCAAACGCCTTTACGGCCCAACGTACCATGTCGGTCGCAATTTAATTAGACATCCAGAAATATATATGCTGATGATACCTTTCGACTACTCTCAAGAGTCAACTCCCGCTGCGACGTGTTCTGCAGTCGACTGTGGAAGCCCTCTTCCACAGCGGTGCTAATTTGACCATGCTTGGTCCGGGATTCAAGACCGGAATATTCCTCTTGTCTTTAAATCAGCGTTTCTTTTCTGGGGAAAATGTAGGATTTGTTTGACGAGTGCTGCTTAGACCGAATATTGAGACAACGATTCACACCTGTTTACATGAGTCTGCTCCTCTTGACTTGCAGTAGCTGCATCAATTAGACCCGTTTGTTTGATAGCAGAATATATCTTCGGTATCATGAGCTTTGTGACAAGGGTTGACGTAATAATCGTAAGCATTAAATTTGCCTGGGGCGTCATCTTTGAATAATTGAAGAATCTTGAAGTCGATTCCCAATGGAAACGAAACGGACTTACGAAGAAGTTCCGACGATTCCGACCAATCGCTTAGCACCTCTGAGAACCCAAACCTCCCCAGATACCTAGACCATCATCAAAATGGATATCATTTCAAATGATGAGCGCTAATTTTGGCTATTAAGTATGATTTTTTCCCGTAGTGTTTCAGAAAAGGCGAGGGTGACGGAAAAAAGGCATGAAAATCAACTACGAGTCTTAGACTATCCCGAGTACCGGGGCTGCCAGATCAATTACATCAACTATTCCGCTTTGCGAAGGTTATAAAACTTTCTGACTTCTCGTCATTGGTTTCAGTCTCGAGTATGCCCTCCTACTTGCAACTTGAACTGCTGTGCCTCAATGTCAGCGTGCGCCCACCACACGGCTTCAACCTAGCTTGAGTTGTACGTGGCACGCTCGTATTGACAAGATTTGGCAACTTGTCAAGGTAGTCATCTTGAATATTCACATGATTACGAAACAATAAAATATCGGATACATTTTGTTTCCTAAATCTTTCTCTAGTTGAGACCATGAACATGACGAACACCGTCTGTGCTCAAGACATCAGCAAGCAAGCACCACAACAAGACCCTATAATCGTGCTACGTGCAGTCGGTCGGGTCGGAAAGAACTGCAGTCCGTGGTTTGACTGGGCTTTCATGCTCCATGGCATTAGAGTTCTAGGGCTGTTGGCTGTTGTCATTGGATGTCGAAGTCAGATGGAGGTCGTGGCTGGTAGAGGGCACTGACATCACCGCGACCAAGACAGGGGCAGAACGACCCAGCGTTCTTAAACAACAAATCTTGCCTTGATTCTAGGCTGTTCTTCGCGAATACATCTCCTAAAACAGATTCTCATGCGACGAAAAAGGCGGTATTTGGAGGCTCGGACAACCGAGTTCCCGCTCGTCCGGGATCCCTGGAAGGTGGCCTTAATGACGGAAGGACCCGTCCCATGTGCATCCTCCTGTCAGTCAAAGCCGCGTTTGCCATGTGCGGTCATTGTATTGAGATGGCCACCACTAGAATTTGGGGTTCCGTCGATGCTCTCCGGTCTGGAGCTTGATGCATAGCCTTTCCTGAGCCAATCTTGAATGATGTTCGGTGAAGCGTACAACGCCGGCCCCGCAAATTTGCCATCATAACCTAACGTTGCGGCGAGACATCTCACACCAATATAAAGGCAAAGCGTCTGACCACGGACGCTGTGGCATGTTTTTGTGAAGCAAATACTTGTGTCGTTTAGACATCTCCAAATTTCCGAACTGGACAAAACGTCGGCATATATCCAACCACGGACCAAAGTCTCAGAAAGATTCCAAGTCGTCAGTAACCGCTATGAAGGCCTTCATCCCTCTGATTCTCGCCTCTGTCGCCTTCTCCAGCCCTATCTATCCCATCAGCAGCAAAGAGATCGAAACCGCACCCAAGCTCGACACACGCGAGACTGGCACAATAGCAAAAGAATTTACCAGAGGCGGCTGCCGTGATGTCATTTTCATCTTCGCCCGTGGATCTGTGGAGACCTGAAACATGGTGAGTTGCCCGTCCCGACTCGGATGCGCGACCGCTTTGAGGCGTCCGTATTCGCATAGCTCGACAACATCAGACGGAGCTGACGTCAAAGCGTTCCACCAGGGCTCGACCGTTGGACCCCCAACTTCAGACGGCTTGAAGAAAAAGTACGGGGATAACAGAGTAGCGACCGAAGGAGTTGATTATGCCGCAGCACTTACTCCCAATTTCCTCCCTGGCGGCGCCGATCCTGACGGCGTCGCAACGATGAGGAAGCTTCTGAACGATGCCGCCTCAAAGTGTCCGAATGCGAAGCTGGTGGCTGGAGGATATAGGTAAGCCTCCTTCTTATTCGTATTCTTAATGGTACTCTAGTGCATGAAAAGGTAATAACACAAGCATTTACAGTCAAGGAGCCGCTGTGGCCCATCGATCAATCGAGAGTCTTTCGGACTCGACCAAGAACAGAATCCTTGGCGTCATCACTTATGGCGATACGCAGAACACCCAGGACAAGGGGCAGATTCCCAATTTTCCGAAAGATAGGGTCAAGATTATTTGTAATGATGCCGACGAAGTCTGCAAAGGCACCTTGGAGGTTGAGCCCTCTCATCTGGACTACGTGAAACGGGTCCCCGAAGCCGTCGACTTTCTCATCGGGAAGATTGGCAACATTTAAGCTTCTGAGGTCCGCATTTTGGAAAACGGAATTTGGGGTATGATCATTGAATTCTGGATGGAATTTAGAGACTTTCTTGACCATATTTGCAAGGTACACACCACCTTCATTTGACGACGCGACGATGACAATTTAGCGGCTTGAGAGCGATTTTAGCCTACTTTAGAATGATAAAAGGATATCTATTGAGAACCTTGACCGTGCTCTTGGAAAGTTTACATCACCCACCACCAAGCTACACAACTGCCGCATTGATGCACGTGCTACTGTCCGTTATTCCCCCCCGAGCTGACTCTCATCAATCTCTTCAATGTCTCTAAGACTAAGCTTCTAGCCTACGAATGAATAATAGACTTCACGTATTCATGGTCAGGTTTCTATATTTTGATCCACTATAGATGGAAAACATCTACCCCAAAATGTTTAGTTCTTCGCACTATTCCTGTCCTGCTTGATTAGGTCGGCTGCCCTCTCCGCGACAGAATACACGGTACTCTGTATGTTTCCTGAAGGCTCGATGGGGAAGATGCTAGCATCCACGATGCGAAGCTTCTCTGTACCATAGACACGCAGCCTCTCGTCAACGACACCGCCCTGCCCGCGCGGCATCATGGCACAGCTTCCCGAAACGTGGAAAATGGAGATCTGCCGCTGCCTCACAATCTCCTTCGCACTTTCCAGATCACTCCCCTTGATTCCAGGCAAGCGTTTGCCCCCAGCTTTGATGAGACCGCCAAATGGCTCCGTTCCCACAATTTTCTCAACAAATTGCACATTGCGTGCAAGCAGCTCCAAGTCCAGGGGATTGGCGTTGTATCGCGGGTCCCATGCCGGCAATTCCTTGAAATCAGGGCTCGTGATGTGCACGCAGCCGCGCGAGAAAGGGTGGTTCAGCACCGTCATGACCGTAATGTAGTTGTCCGGATGGGACGGCAGAATATACTCGGCCATGCTCGCAGGGTGGTCATTGATCGTGATTTGGGATGGGAATAGGAGATACTGGCAGGTCGGCTCGTCCGGAGATTCAAGCAGAGAGCGCACAAGCTTAGCTGCCGAGGTCTTAATCTGATCCTTGTGAGATTCGAAGAGATTTGTCTTCCCTTCCTTTTGGACGAGGCCGCTGCCATCAGCAAGTGGTGTATACGCCGAACTTATTGTGCTTTGACCCAATGGACCCTCTCGGGTCGCCTGGTATTGACCGACGAGGGCATTCAGAATGTTGGCATCACGCAGAACATCGCCCGAGGGCACGCCGTCGCTGACCTCGAAGCTTTGGCAAACGACGGGATGATCTTGCATGTTCTCGCCTACGTTGGGATTGTCCACAATGACGGGGATTCCGTGGCGTTCAAGACGTTGCCTGCCTCCAATACCGGACAGTTCTAGGAGTTGGGGAGTCTGAAGCGCTCCTGCTGCCAAAATGATTTCGTTCTTGGCTGAGATTTCCTTCTCTTCTCCGTTCTTTGCAACCACCTGGACTCCAGTGGCTACAGCATCGCCGCTTGTTGTATTGAAGTTGATTTTCTTCACCAAAGCCTCCGTCAATACAACAATATTCGGCCTGCGTGAAACTTCAGTTGTGTAATAGGCGTTTGCCGCATAGCTTCGAGTCTTGGTCTCCGGATCAATGCTGCAAGGGTTCTGGAAAGCCCCAAAAGCCTTGCCACCGCGCGGATCTCCAGTCATGCCCAGCCCGAGCTTCTCAAAGGTGCTCATCCAGGCCGTGTTCATAGCGCTGTAACCCTCGCCAAAGGAAACTTGCAGGGGACCATTTCCGTTCAAGGCGTCGTCGTGGTAGCCCAACCCGACAATGTCTTTCGCCAACTGTGGAGGCGGATGATCGGTGGCAAACTTGCGAAAGTATGGCGCGAGAGAATCAAAGTCCCAGCCGTCATTTCCCAGAGCACCCCAAGCATCAAGAACACCCCTAGTCGGGTAGAGCATCAGCATGAAATTCAGACCCGAACTTCCGCCGAGCATCTTGCCACGAGACTGATTGATCCGACGATTATTCAGTCCTGCCTGTTAAGAGTCAGCACCACCAAAAAGTATTTGAGCGGCAGCACGTCTCAGCGAACATACCTGAGGGACCGAGGTGAAGTTCCAGTCATACTCCTCTTTTCCATACAAGCCAGCCACAAGGCCGGGTGTCAGTACCAAAGGGTTCGCACTCTGATCAGACCCAGCTTCCACTACCAGGACGCGGACCTCATGATCCTCAGTGAGCCTTGAGGCGACGACCAGGCCGGCTGTGCCGCCACCGACGACAACGTAGTCGAAAGCATCGTCGAGACCATGCAAAGATGCCATTTTCGATGATAGTTCGGGCGCTGCAGGGATACAGCCACAACAGTCGAGCGGCGACGAAAGCAGTGAGGAGAAGGAGGGGGTTCTCGACTTCAGACGAGACTTTTGTTGAGCAACCTCACCTGCGTAAGCGTTAGCCTGCAGCCACGATCAGCCTGCGCATTCACAAGGGCTCGGTGGACCATCATGAGCGGGATGCATGAGTCTAGCCGTTTCCAGGGAGAAATCCGCAAGGTTATGGGTCCAACCAACTGAACAATCTCATGTTCGAGGGATGTGTTTTTCACGCTGTTATGTTATTTCTCGGGGGATGCATGATTACCGATAATCATATCCCATAACGGAATTGTTTGAGGGTTGACAATATTTCATATCTCTGATAGTTGGGACTTCTTTGCAGAACACACGCAAACACACAGTAACATGTGAATGTCTGGAGATCTTTTGACGTCCTTGGGCCTTCAGAGGTTTGTGGAGAACATGCACGTATTCTGCGGGGACCCCAACTTCCTCTCCTGCACGTAGGCGTTGAAGTCACGACCACTTGTATTCGCGACAAGAAAGAAACAGTTGATATTGTACTTTACTCGAAGATCTCAGGCAAACGAGTACCTGGAAACTCACAACATGATGGTCCTTCCTCGTAGAACTTTTGAAGATGATGGGAAACTGAAGCTATTGGAGGTGACAATGCTCGCAAGAAGCAGGCTGCGGTCAGCGTTGTATTGGAAGTGGACTGTGGCGAACATCTTCAGTGAAAGCGCCTAAGCCGATGGGGCTCATGAACATGGATTTCAATCCTTCACTCACGACTCTACGCCTCCGCCCTAACGAGGAAGCATGAACGTCGAGATGGCATAGAAAGCAAAAAGAGGGTGGTACGTGTTCCTGGGTGGTCCGGTTTCGATCTGCAAAATCGATTCATCGCAGAGAAATAAATACCTTGGGTCTCAAATCATTCACTCAGTCAAAGCCAACCTGTGCAGGTGCCTGTGCCTTGCGCACCCCTGTGTCTGGCGGCCTCTTGTTGGCCACTGCGACTGACAGGGCGGCCATCAGCATACGGTACAACCCTTTGAAAAAAATAAAGAAAAAGATTGGCCATAAAGAAAACTTCATTTTTTTATGTAGAAAACTATTATTCGTCCTTTAGCAGATAAACTCCGGGCATCTGTAAGCAGGCATCATTGCCCCGACATCACTGAGCTTGGCGAGCTTTAGCTGGGTGATTGATGATGTATGCCATGAAGAGCCGCAAGGCCGGCCGGGTCACGGAAATGAATCCAGCACCGCAAGCGGGTCTAAAAATAGGAATGACACCCTGCTAAGCTGACCTTCGGGTTGAAAATGCTTGTTTTATCTCAGTCAACCTCCGGACAGACCCCGATTCCTCCGGACAGTCCGGTGATGGCAAACACCGTTGGACCCACATCACCGAGAGAATCGTACCACCGTGAATCCCGGCTTCCGCATCCCGAAATCAAATTGTAAGTCCCCGGGCAAACTTTTTTTGGCTTCGCGTATGAGTGTTCGGCATCTGCTCTGAAATTTCAGCGTGCCTTAGAATCATTTGCTTCGGCTGGGCGACCCAAAGATGACTGTTCCCCATCGGTTGTCGAACAATCAGACGCCGAACAACGCTAGGTGCTAGTTCGCGTGACCAAGACGTTCTGTCGGCATCTGGCATCTATGGACGATTTGAATATAAATGTTCAAGAGCAATGCGGCCGTGGAACTTCCAAAATGAAACGCTGGCAAGAAATCAATCTACAACCTCGTTTGCGCTTCAACTGCACAAAGTCTATCATCTAAATCGACTCGGATCAATCTCAAAAATGAGTCTTCATGCTGCTAGGTTCGCGCGACAGCTCTCGCACAGACCATTCCCAGTACTTCAAGCACGTTTTGCCTCGACACAGCCACTTTCTCGCGAGCTTTTTCCTCAGAGGACTCAGTCTCAGCCGGGGGATTGGCCAAAATTAATCAAGAAAGCTGGAGTGCGAGTCGCACAGTAGGTTTACCCGTGGATGTTCTGAAACGAGAGATCAGGAAATATTGACTTTTTTTTGACCAGGTACGTCGGCGTTTTCTCAGTCGTGTTGTTTTGGCCGTACCCAGTCTACACGATTGCTGAAGCGATCTACTAGGGGCTTGTGGGTAAAAGACGGACGAATGGGTGGCTACTGGAAAAGTCAACTGTAAAGAACTAGCCTAGCATTGAATATTCAGAGTCAATAATCGTATTCTCAAAATCTGATTCGTCGCTTTGGACCCGAGCCACCTGTAGAACGCTTGGCGTCGTGACATAGAGGTCGGTGAGTTTCTGCTAGAGAACCCGAGGCTCGGGACCCACTGCCGCATTGGGAAAATCGGTCCCGAGGCCGCGTCCGACTCGCGTGGCTTTGTGGCCCGGCCTCCCAGTCTAAAGCCACCAGTATCCCCACGCCACAAAACCCGAGGTTTCGATTCCCCCGTACGCTTCCCGTTGAGGTTCATCCCAAAGGGTTCGCGATCTACCGAGCATGACCACCGAAGTCGCCAACTCGAGAACTCACAAGTCCTGCGATGCGTGTACTAATCGCAAAGTCCGTTGTTCCGGTACGGTTGACTCTGCCATTTCTCGAATTCTCGGTGAACAAAAGCTGACATCATCGATGACTAGGATCGCCGGGCCCATGTGCCAACTGCGTCGTAAGTTCCGTCGCGAGATCTGATTCGGTATGGGGCTCGGGAGATGTTGACTGTTTGGGAACTCAAGCGCCGGAAAACCGAATGCATCTTCAGCGTGAGGAAGCTAGGCCGCCGACCGAATGGTAAGATACCTCTACCAATTACGGGTTGTCCAGCTTGCATATACCCTTGTTACGCCCCTATACGGTGCTGACCATGATGCCGCATATAGTAGTTCGACAGTTCATGACCATCAGCAATGGCGCTGAGGGGTCTGGTGATGGTGCTCAAAACTGCACCGTTTCCGTCATAGACTTCGCAACTCCACCATCACCGAAGCCACCGAATGCGAGCAACTCGGATGCGGACCCCACTCCGCCGTCCGCATCCTCCGATGCTGGGCGGGCCGGACCGCACCGGATCCCGGATCTGTTGGTGGATCGTGTCATTGAACGCGCGGAGGAGTCCACATCCACCAGGACAAACCCTAGCAGATCGCATTTTGTCAAAGTGAGACACCCGAGATCCCCCCAAAATAAGATGCGATTTTTCTGATGCGAAGACAAAACCAAGGGAAACGGCGTCTTCGGTGAGTGCCGTCCGCCATGGGCGTTCAACCCGAATCGAAATACAGGATCATCGCTTATGCCACCTTCAGTCGGCGGTGACAGCAGCCTCACGTTCTTCTCGGAAGCTCGACTGAAGTCCCTGTCCCAATGCCTCGGTCACGACAGAGTGAGCGAACTGGTTGCACGAATATCCAGCACCGTCCAGCATCATTTGAGAAGTGCTTCCAACTTCAGCACCGACCTGTCAGCCCACCATAAGCAACCACCCGCATGTCTAAACGACAGAGCCCGAGTGCTGCAATGCATAAAACGTGCGACTTTTTTTTCGATTCTTCAGAGTTGTTCAAATTTGGAATGCGAGCTGACTGAGCATAGTGTACTTCGAACGCGTCCATCCGCGCTTCCCCTTCTTGGACCGCGCGGCTTTTGAAGCCACGGCAGCTGCTCAGGGCCAACCCAACACCATACCTAGGAGCAAATCATGGACTTCGTTATATTACACAGTCCTCGCCCTCGGAAGCCAGTACGATGGGGGAGGCAGTTATGAGCCAGGGAGGGGAGAGTCGTGGGAACTATTCTCGGCCGCTCTGGCCAACTTCACTGATCTGATGCTTCTCCCAGACTCTCTCACGACACTGCAGGCTCTCACAGCCATGACAATATACTCTCTGGGGATGTCTTCGATGGGACTCGATCACATTATTATATCAGAGGCGGTGAGAAGAGCGCAGAACCTGGCGGAAGCGAGGTTCAGCAACTACGCAACGCAGGCGTATAGAAAGACTTTCTGGGTCCTATATGGCCTAGAAAAGGTCACCAGCTTTCATCATGGTCGGAGCTCGGTGAGTACTTGGACCCAGAATGTTCTTCCGCAATCGGCCCCTGGGCTAACGGTCAGAAGGGCTTCAGCGACTGCGATGTTTCTTGTCCTATTCCCAGCACGCCCGAATCCTATTTTGGAGACTTCAACTGGTTTGTCGCCTTCATTCGCTACGCTCGCCTCCTATCTCGAGCATATACCTCACTATTCTCGGTCGGCGTCTCGGACAATGCAGACGAATACTTTCTGGACATTGTGGACCAGTTGACCGAGGAAATCGAAGACTGGAGGGCTGCCTTGCCAGATAATGGCTTCAGACCAGGGGGTTCAATCAAGCCTGCTGCCTTGCCCGTTTCCTCCGAGACGCAGGCAGTAGCTCTTGTCATGCACTTCTTCTACAACAGCTTTCTTCAGACCATCTCGAGGATGGCCCTTCGTCACCTGCCACCATCAAACCATGATAGGAGAGAAACTGTCTTCAAGACGGTGGAGAAGACTTCTCGATGTCTTCTAGAACTCACGTCGCTTATTGAGGTGGCACCTTATACACCCATGTGGTACGTAATCTCTTCTTGAGAATCTATTCAAGCTTACACCCTCGTTTTGTACAGGATGCTTGTAGGTATTCCGATCACGGGCTTCTTCGTTCTATTCGACCTTGTCATCCACAACCCTAAAGGGCAACAGGTTGCATCCAACCTCGCTTTGCTCGATATGGTCGTTGGTCACGCCAGCCAACTGGAGTATGTGTCCCAGGGTGTCATTCCGGGCTCGATAATTGGCGAGTTCGCACACATCGCAAGAACGTATGTTGGCGATGTCAACGGCCAGAGCATAGCCGGCGGCGCAACGCAGCAGCCGCTTCCAGACACCGGACAGACGCTGTTTTCTCAACCTCACTGGTCTCTGCCGCATGATGATATTGAGGAATTCGCAGCCATGGATGTTGCTGCTGATCTCTCGGAGGTACGTCATAGCTTCTCCGTCATCCCACAACACTCCTCATGCTAATCTGGGATACTACAGATGAATCTGGCTGTTGGATCAGGGCCACCTGGGGTGGGAGGTCCCATGGACATCGAGGGGCTCCCCATGGGACCCAACACCTTCATGGGAACTGACGTAATGAACCTCTTTGGGTACTTTGTGCCCGACTGGGAACCCTTGGTTTACTCAGGACAGACGAGCCAACACGACATTCCCGCTTCAACTTATCCAGATGACCAGCTTGATGCGCATCAGCCTTGAGACCAGCTTCCAACACACCTACGAATGTAATCTTAGTTGTCTTGGCATTGAGAGAGACCAAGAACAGACATGTAAACTATCCAGTCAGATTAGAAAGACCTCTAGGCATTGCTGCTGGAGATCAGTCGGTTCCCGGGTTCCCACCCTCTAAGAATTTGAAAAAGGTCAAGCGATTCCCGTCCAAGTCTTTGATGGCAAACTGCCGGTATCCCCACGGTGTATCGCGGATCGGTTCGACCACCTCCGCCATGCCCCTGGCGATCACGAACTCGTAAAAAGCGTCCAAACCAACCGTTCCCAAAGCTATCAATACTCGTCCAGGCACGAACTTGGTTGGTTCGCACCGGAAGAAATAAAGGTTCGCGGCTGCCTTGTCGCCTGCGTAAACCGAGCAAAAGTTGGGCCGACCATCGGGATCGCCCTCGCTGTCGGACTGCATTCCGCCCAGGGTGAACCCCAGCTCGCGTGTGTAGAACTTGACCGTAGCTGCGATGTCCCGCGAATCAAGCGCCGGGATGATCTTCCAGGCCGAGCCGATACCTTCTGCGTCCATTTGGCGAGGCTACATGTGGGGGAAGGGCAGCGGACAAGTTTACCCAAATCTTTCCTGGGGTAATTATCAGTATCCGTGGTAGCACTCGGCTGCGCGGTCTCCAGGGTCTACCTTGGCCTCACGGACCAAGCCGGCTTCCATGTTGACTTATGCACTGCAGCCGTTCTGCGAAGAGCCGCGAGATCAGACGGGCTGGGTGAACGGACACCGAAGACCGAACCGAGTTGGCGGAAGAATCTGTCACGCGGACGGCAGAGGGAGAAAAAGGAAGAAAAAGCGGTGACGAGAAGTCTAAAACGCACCACCAGCGTCCTGAGTTTCAGACGGTTTGGCCGGGTTGTGGTGGGATGCCAACGTCATTATTCCATTCCGATCGACAGACCGGCAGAATAGGAGAAATATCACTCCCTCTTTCTGGCCATCCTCAGCCGCCTCCATCTCATTACCCCTCTTTTTCATCCGAGATCTCTCTCCGTCGGCACCGTCTAGAGCCATGCTAGCAACTCTAATTCCAGTTTAAACGTGGTCTAGCTCAGGCTGCTTCCGCAGGCGCATGGGAGGGTCAGGTGAACACAATTTGACGCCGGCGACTGTGACTGGCTGATCTGGACTCGCTCCGCGTGAGGGGATCTTGGAAAAGTCAGTCGGTTCCTGGCTGGCGGAAACTTTCATGACGTCTGACTCAACACCTTCATTGCCGGACGACGGGTCCGCGTGCGGGGATTCAGAGACAGCTACAAGTATATTTTGCCAAGATGCGGTGGTCTAGTAGTAATGGACTTCTTGGTGGACACATGTAGGTTTGAGGCTGCCACGACCACCAAGTGCCTGCAACTTCCACGGCTTTCCACGGATCCGATCGGTCTTGCGTTGGTGAATAGATGGTCATCCGAAGCTATGGATGCGGTGAGATATCACGACGAATCCTCTGGAGTGTGCCACAGACATGTCTAGTTACGGGTCAGAAGACGTTCAGTGACAGCATTGCGAATATGATGTGACACCATCATGGACGAGTAAAACAGTTCGTGATTTCATTACTGCGTTCATCATAGAGTCGCACTATAATTATCTCGCTTTCAATCAGACCAAGCATTAAAAAAGTGATCCTCGCTCAGGCGCTTCATGGCTCCATATCAGATAACCTCGTAGCGGCGCAAGACTGCCAGTACCAGCGGCGGGATACCACGGAGGTCGTTCTCGTCGTCACCGAGGCGCGAGAGCGACTCCTCCGAGACGCTAGCTTGAAATGTTTCGATTTCCTTGTTGGCCTGGGCAGTGTCCAAGGTGTTGATGTCCATGGCTGCAGCGTCGGCGTTGGGGAAGTTGGTTGCCGGGAACGGGAGGGCTTCAGCCTCCAAGCCGGCCACCATCATCACCGACCTGTCCCTGTCGCCAATGCCGAGAGCTCTAGCAACGCCCGCAAGTAGGTCCGACAACGCGGGAACGGCTTTGGCTGGGATCTTGATCTTGCCTCCGCGACCCTTGTACTCATCTATGGCACCGGTAAAGTTGCCTTGGATCTGGTCAATGACCCCCTGCGCAATAGGTTGGAGGCTACGGTCCAAGATCTTTGTCAACTTTATGATAGTTAGCACTGGTTCAACCCACAAAGCAGCAGAAAACTTACGGCACCGCCGAGGTCGGTGGCTTTATCTGACTGAATCTTCAAGTCATCGCGGATGAGACTTCTGACATCAAGAATCTTGAAGCCAGCTTTGTCAAACTGAGGACGCTTCCCCTCAAGTGTGGTGAGGAGGTTGTTGATGTCCGGTTGAAGGGCCAAGAAACGCGTGCCAATAGTGGTACTGCAAGTAAGAGAACCATTCGTCAGTCACAAGGCTTCGCGGCGGTGTTCGGGTGTTGTCTGGGACTTACGACTCATTTGCCGGCAATACATCGGTGTTCTCTGCGGTCTTGGTTCCGAGATCGATGGTTCTACCAAGCTCGACAACAGCCTCATTAACCTTCAGCAGCCCCACAAGACCCTTGAGGCTGCCACCCTTGAATGGTACGACGCTGTCGTTAGCGTTGGCGACCTTTTGCTGGAGATCTCCAATGCGTGTTTGCAGAGCCGCCGATCCGCCCTTGACGGGCTCCTTGTCGCCCTTCCCTTTGCATCCTTTCTTGCCGCACTTGTCCGCTTTGTCGTCTCTACCGCGACCGCCTCTTGCCGCCTCGACGGGCATTGCCATCTCGGCAGAGACCACGTCAAAGAGGCAGAGGAAGAATGGGATGATGACCGAGAGCCTCATGGTGGCAAATGTGAGAAACGATTAAGGAAAACGTATAGCGAGGTACTACGGTAGTGTTGGGCATCCGAAAACGCTGATAATCTGGACTCCTTACAATTTTCCCATGTCGGAAGCGCGGAAGGTCGTGGGACGGGCCATCACGTAAATAGTCAAGCCAGAAACTTTCACAAGCCGTGACGCCGAGGCAACTACAACTGCATCGGTAAACTGTTGATCGAACAAGGGGGCATGGGCAGAATGAGAGAAACGGCCATACAGCCCGCAAATTGACAAAAGAGCCGAAATCGACAGCGCAAAAAGTCGGCGTGTTTGCGCGCGCCGATTCCACCAGGGTTCGGCGGGGACTTTCTCTCAACCCATCCACGACCGGGGTTGGGCATGATGCCACGCGGGGTTCAGTATGGAGGCACAAAAGTTTCTGATCGAACCCATGCCCATGTGTATATAACAGGCATATCGATGGGGCGCCCCGTGGGGAAACTCTGCTCTCCACGAACTGGTAGGTGCTGAGGCCACCATCATGAAACGCGGCCTATCGGAGCGAGAGGTGACCACGGTTTGGGTCGTCATGAATCCATGAGCTGTCTGGAAGTTCCTGGCAGATTCGCAACTTTACACTTTTTGAATCGTCACCTGCAGGGGAGGTCTTCGTCACTACGATGCTGCCCCCGGGAACCACTCATACGATGGGTGTGCTGGGAAGCATGAGCCGTGGTACAGGACTTATATGTTGTCGGGGGCTGTCAACATACTTACCTGCGCCGCGACCCTCCATCTTCAGAAGGAGGTGGTGATATGGGAAGGGTTGTGATGAAAAGAAGATGTCGCTTTCGCAATGGAATGTTCGTGAAGTACCGGGTGTACCCTCCAATTCGGCGTTCTTCTCTACGTCACTGAAGAAGAGAGACAAGGCACCAGATGTTCAGAAGCTTCTGCCATGCATCGGTCGAAAGAGGGGCATCGATATCTTTGCTGGTGTCTAGACCACCTTTGCCAAGGTTGTTGCTGGCCGACGAGTGCGGAGGAGTTCACGCTATTGCTTAAATCAGGGGTCATCCGGAGAAAGACTAAGCAAACATCGCAGCCGGCGTTCCCATCATGTCCGTAGGCTCGGGTTCGAGTGAAGTCATTCAAATGGAAAATGGCCGATGCCATTGGACCCTTGGCCCAAGCTGATTGTCTGATGCGGGTTGGAAAATTCCAGACGAAGGGGGTATTTTGGGGGGGAGAACTTCACCTATCGCATCTCTCCCTTTTGCTCCGCTCGTAAACTATGAGACATCCCACCCGGTGCCCTGGTCGACGATGTCTTCAGAATTGATTGAATGGAGAGACGCGGTGAACGACCACTAGAACATGAGATAACAATCAGCTTTGGATCGTGATCGTTTGCATTCATGCGGGAGACAATATGCATTTGCGTCTCGCCGACAAAAACTGGCATGCATTCCTCGCGCTCTCGGGTTCGTATTGTCAATAGCGACCGACGCGCACTTTCATGCTTGGCAGCTACTACCAACAATTGGAAGATTACAATTAGATTTGAAAAAATCCCAATTAGGCATCTGGTCGAGATTCAGCTGTGCGGCCTCGTTTTTGTCTTTCGCCCTGAGAGCTTTTCCAAGGCTACCCTTATCTGAAGTTCCGGGCTCACGAATCGCGCTCAGCGGATGCTTTCAGCGCCATCAACAGAAGATTGTCGAAAACGAGCACTTAAACACCTCAGTTTCCCCTCCAAGGTCTAGAACAAATGGATCGGTTTCCAAAGGCAACCGGAGTAGCACCGACTTCGGCACTTGGAGGGGCTGAACTTGGCGAGGCGGTGTTTCAAGCGCAGGGGGCGGGACACCCCAGAGAACCTTGCGTACAGACGCGAATAACGTATCCCGAGAAACGCGAGGCTCTTGAGGCTCGCCCGGTCAGGAGCTGGGCAGAATTTGGGGTATGAGGTATGAGTAAGGACGCGCTGGTGTGTGCGGCACGCGCGGAGCCTCAATTGCGGAGGAGTATAACGGTTTTTCGTTAGTCAGGGACGATGCAAAGCAACAGGATCCACCTCCACATTAGCAGGGAGCTGAAAAAGTAAGAGGATTGGCTTCTGTCGATCAAGCTGACATGGGACTCTGCCCTTGATCCGGTTAGGGGAGAGGCTCTGTGCTTCGGACTGAAATCTACCCCCTCGCTCGGACTCCGACCGGTTTCGGGCAATGCCATCCCGTCCTGGTGAGTTCTGTCAGAATCCGAATATTAAATCAGTCGGCAGAAAGTGACATCACTTTATATCAATATGATTTCATTCTATGTTATGGTCTCGAAGATGAGAATACCTATTCGTTGAGTTAACGATGACGAAGCACGGCGCGCTGGACGACCCTTATGGGTACCTGACCGCATGCTCATCTGACGATCGAAACCTTCCAGGAGGATCACCGGCCCAAATCAAGCAGAGTTTGGTGTTGTCGAAGTCAATCACATGACCATAGCGGTAAGGCAGCACATCTGAATTATTTCCGGAACAAAGACCGTGTCGATTTCCGGTCCTGGGAACGTGGCCCACGAACCTGAACAGCGTAGGCAAGCCAGGTCTGGAACTGCCTCACCGCTTGCTGTCACTGTGGCTGTTTCATTGACCCGCCACTAATATATGTCTGCAATGAAACTCGAGGGACTGCTGAAGTAGTAGCAACTCGCCAAACCTTTCAAATTTGGCCTTCTGCCTAAGCAAGAGCGAAGAGAAGTGCCTTAACAACGAATTTCCAACGAATGAGTCTTTTGACCTGCTTTCCTTTAGACGCAAAAGTTGGATCATCATGATTTCCATTCATCCATGTCAAGAGAGAGACCCCGGATTCGTAGCCAAACAACGGATGTTAAAGAATTGGTCATGTTGGGAAGCGCAGAGTCCTATCATGGCAGAGGGCTTCCCCATAAAGTAGTCTCTCTCAACTGTATTTAGTCAACTTGCTAAAGTTCAGTTCTCATCAATAGCATTCCAAACGGCATCCTACATCCATATCCTTCTATACGAGACAGTCTGTACTATGTTTACGAGCTGAGCCTAAAAGTAACCGCAACAAACCCCTCCATTCATCCTTCGCATCAAATTCAGTCCCGCTAAAACGTTCAAACAGGCTGACCGCTGGAACTGAAAAAGCGGCATGTGGCAGTGATGACGTTGTACCTCTCCACTGGTTCACGTTGAACCGCTGAGCAGACGGATAGAAGATGCCGCTGACCGTAGTCGTCTCGCAGCCAAACACGACGTCCCGGATCATATTCGGGAGGTGGCTGTAGGCCATATCAACGGCGTACGTGTTGTCATTGCAGAAGACTGAGGCCGACGTCCCGTCACAAGTGGTCCTGATGCACCGCCTGGCCTGCACACACACCTGCTGACCGTCTTCGGATGCGAGACGCCCTTGTCTAGGTCCCAGTAAGCCTCCACGGCTTGATACATTCGTTTTTGTACTGTAGCATTGGGTCACATCATCTGATTAGAGCAATGAATTAATTTTGCTTCGTACCATGAACCGCGCCGTCGCAAGCCTTGAGATTATTAGAGAATTCCGCCGTTCTATTGTAAAGCAAAGAGTTAAGGTAGTTAGTATTAATCTCTAATAGCCTTTTGTACTATTTAAGCTATCATCCTTATTATATAAAGTAAAGCGCTCCTTAGAGACTACCCCTACGTTGGCTACTTTAAACTATTACTTAACTTAGATTAAACACCCCTACTTAAATAGACTAGTTATTTTAGAATTTTTAAAAAAGCATTAGAAAAAAAAGGGTAAAACAGCGAGCCTCCCACTTATACTCAGCAGGCTTTTCGCCTCGTCCGGGCTTTCGCTCAGGGACGTTATCCGAAAAGACGAACATTTGAAACGCAATCTCGCTCCCCAGACGCAATTCGAACTCGCACCGCCTGGCTAATTACACCACTGGGTTAAGTACACTTAACAAAGACGGTCGATAACCTCTATCCAGGACGCTTCCTTGGGGTTGCGCGGCCGAGTGGGGTGAGGGAGGCACCGAGGCCCGCAAACCGCGCCGGACGGCCCCGAGAAAAAACAAAGGTACGCCAGTCTATGCCGGGCTCAGAGAAGGCGCGTTGTCCGAGCTCTCCTTCCAACCCTAGGAGAAGCTTTACTCCGGCCCAACTCTTCGTGAAGCGTCTTGGGGCCAAGCACAACGCCCGATGTGGTGGGCTGAGGGGGGTGGGCCCGTAGAGAGGAGTTCCAACGTCAACATCTCGGAGCGGCCAAGTCACCGATACCCCCTCCTCCAGTTTAAACCCACCTCACGTCCGCAGACGAAGGCAAAGGGCGATGCAACCCGCAAAGAAGCCCAAAGGCGCGCAAAATGCTAGGCCGCACGAGTCTCGGCCGGCACGATACCAGCGCAAGACCGAAAAGACGCGTGCGTGCATACGTGTACGGGTGTCGCGCGCAGGCGGGCTTCCCATCTCGCGAACTTGAACACTGGTTCCCGTTGCGTACTTGTCCCGTAAGAAGAAGAAACACGCATACACCGCCCCATCTCACTGAATCCGCTCGCGATGCAAAGACAACCAGAGTCGACGAACCCAAGCGCGCACAACAACACCACGCATGCGGCACAAGCACTCCACCAAGTTGCGCCCCAGCAGACGCACCAGCGAAGAATGGATCGCGGCTCGATTGCTGCTAGCTGGCACGTCGAGGGGGGTGGGCTTCTGCTGGAGACTGGTCGACTGTGGGAGCTGGCTGGCTTCCTCCCGCGGGACGATCATCTAGATCCTTGCACCGCAAGGGGCAGGCTGAAAATCATTCCATCATCCCACCGGCGTCGAGACGCCCAAGGTCATCATGCATAGACATTCACGGCCGAAGGGTCTGGTGTGCACGGGTACTAACCCCGTTCGCTTGACGATATCTCAGATCTTGTTCGGCATTCCGCATTACGCAGCCGATGTGAGTTCCAAAAGTCCAACTTCAATCTCAGAAGCCACACATCTAGACTAGTATGTTGAATGTTCAATTTCTGGTTCTTTATATGGCATGATCTCAGTCATCTCAGTGCCGTCTGCGAAATGTTTCAGTGGCATCAGAGATCGAGTCCTCTGTCAGAATAGCTGAAGTGAACATGATCGTCAGGTACCGGGAGCAGGTTCTCCTCCAATATACTTTTCCACGACGGCAACGGAGACTCGGTTTCCCAGATCTTGCGCTCACGTTCATCTGCCCAACCCTTAGCCCAGCTGGCGTGACTCCAGCCTTCGTGCTCACGAACCATTCTCTCAAAGTCCCACCGCTCACCAATGTCGAAGTTGCATTGCACAACCGACTTCTCGTCGGCGATGTCTTGCAGTGCCCGTGGAAGATGCTTGAAGGTGTAGCTCGGATAACATTCATCCCACGGATCACCGTCCAACCAAGATGGTTCCTTGATTATGCCCCTTTCTACTGATTCGTCCCAGGCTTGTTGCCAGGCAGCGTCGCGCTGGACAATTGCCTGGAACATTTGGGTCATCAGATGGGGTGCTGGCTCAGCGTCCAGAACGAGGGAGAAGGACTTGCCTGGCATGCCTGCAGGCGCAAGCGCCAAAGCTTCCAGGATCCAAACCAGTATGTTGTCGCTGACGACGTCGGATTCGATAACCCACATCGGGTGATGGCGGTTTGGCCGGTAGTGAGATTCAGATTGGATAGCATTCCTCCACAGGTCAACCCGGCGCTCCACGATAAGTAAGCAGAGGATTTTCCTGGCAGAACGGAATGAGGCCCTGTGCGTGACGCGCAGGATGACCAACCGCCTTGCGATCTTCGCGCACAACAATCTTACGCAGCTGCATTCGTAACGTTCGATCGCAAGACTCCATGAAAAGAATCGCAGCTGCAGCTGCTGAGAAGCGGTGCTTGACTCGATCTCTCTTTGTAATCACGTCCTCAATATAACCAGTCTTCTCCCCATGGGGCCAGTAAGCAGCCATGGCCTGGAGTCTGCTGTCTTGTTGAATGTCCCAGAACTCTGACGCGTCTTTAGCCATACCGTCAATGTCATGGATCTTCATATCGCGTCTGTATGATTCGACGCGGGCGTAGACGCCGCGAAGAGCGTCGCGACCGGTGTCTAAGCATACGACATGTCGAAGTCCTTGCTTGAGTAATTTCGACAGGGCCGAAGGTGCTTCGCCAAACGACTCAAGTTGATATAGATCGCCGTCACGAAATTCATCGCCTTCATCTCCGATCGCATTCAGCAGGAAAGCGAACTGCGGATATGTTAACTTCAGTTCTTTGTAGGATTCTTTCTCGGCAATAGTATGGCAGGCAGAATAGAACAGATGCTTTTGGTGCCATTCCAGCTCCCCTAGCAACATGTCAAAACGCAAAGCGAGCATGCGAAGGTGGTCAGAGTAGACGGTCGTGAAAGTAATAGGATTGATACGCAGTGCCACTCCATGCATTTCGGTTGCGATGAGGCGGCAGGTGTAGGAGAGGTTCAGGTCGATGGGCTGGTCGTTGGTGCCCTTCAACAGACCGGCGATATTGATCTTTCGCGCGCTTGCGGCGTTACGCTCAAGCACGCTTGCGGCGAATCGACCAGGATCGCAGACGTATCCGCTCGGGATTGCGACGTAGTGCTCGTATATCGCATCTCTGATTTCTCGCGGGAGAGCGAGGAAGGGAGACGGGGGTGCCATTTTGGTCGACTGGATAACAGCAGTTGAGAGAGTGGTTTGCGGTCAGAGCCAGCTTGTCGCTGTGGAAAATTGGGTGCGTGCAGTGTTTTGTAGCCCCAGAGACCAGCCACCAAAGAACGACCTCAAGGTTCGCGCAATGGCTGTTTGCCGAAGGACCTTCTCACACCCTTTCGTGGCTGTGCCATCGCCCACGCCGTTCCAAGAGCCTGACTCAGACAGTCGTGTCCAACAGTGTCTCGCACTGTGTGAAACAGGATTAAAAAAAAAGTGGCCACTGTAACGGGTGAACCATTCCGGGAGTTCTACGGCGTTCAAAACCATAGACTTTACGGCGCTCCAAACCAAGAGAAATGTACGCGGCAACGTATATGAATCTTTCTTCCCTTCTAACTTTTTTCTTCGCAGTTTGCCGCCTGGAGGCGCACCTTGTTGACTGCCGTATGACTCTCACGGGGAAATATTCGAGGGCCAGGATGGCCTGGGCTCTGTGTGAGTCAGATGGCGAAGCAAACAAAGATTGGGGAAAGTCACTCACAGAGAAACCTCTACGGCCACCTATGGGGGTATATGAAGAGAGCGCGAATCGCCTCGATTACTATGATTAGCTTAGCAGAGGGAGGGGGAAAACAGACTATCAAACTCACCAGGGGGCAGGCATCTCCCTCTTCACGCTGCCACAACCCATTACACCAAAATGCCGAAGCAATACTACATTCACTACCTCTGTGACCGCTACTATCATCCAGAAATTAATAGGTATACAGTAATAAGGGTAGCTTAACTTACCCTCAAGAGCGGTGACAGCCTCATCCAGCTCATCAGAGAAAAAGAGGATGATGTCTGCAAGTTTCGAAGCAAACGCCCTTTCCCTCAGAACCGCAACAAATTTGAAGAAGCATTGTCTAGATTGTGTAAGCTTAAAGATAATATACCTTAGATATATATTCTTACTCTTCTGTCGCCTACTGGCATACGTCATCCTCCGCCGATACGGCCGTAATGATCCATCTCTTCTCAAAATATTCAACGAGTTCGAAGACATCGCCAAAGCATTCGAAAACAACGAGATGACCGACGACCAGTATCGCGAAGTAAACCGGTTGAACCATCCAAAGCTTGGACATGTTAACATTTTGTCGCAGCGAGCATATTTGCAAAGTCTTTACTCACCAAGAGAGCCTGTTGGCGGAACTCAAGGCAGCACTGTAGCTCGATGGAGCAGTAGTTGATGAGGGTGGTCTGTATGTGACAGAGATCAGTCTTTTGGCTTGATGGCGGAAGGATACGGCACTCACTTACTAGACATGTAGGGGGTGGCTGGAGTAAGGGGGACCTCTCATGTATCCCTGGTCTGGAGAGAACTGAGCGTTAGCTGTAGCTATTCGCAACGAACCAAATATGCCTCACAGCACAAGATCCAACTGACCATACAAAAATTCACAAAAGGATTCTTCACAAAATGATTGGTCTCCGATCTGGAGACAGAAGTGATCTCGATAGAGATCCCAAATTTGCAGTACCTCGAAAGAGGTTCTGGCGACCTCGAAACAGGTCCCGGTGACGCGGTGATTTGCAAAAGCGTACATGAAAGAAAGAAGGGAAAAAGAAGGAATGTAAGCGATTGCGCGTTACAGATACGGGTTGGAGATGGATGGACCAGTCTCCATGTATCGGCTTGTCCACTCAAACTGACCGAGCCCGAAGGTTTTGATGGCCCATTGCGCCATGGTGCGGGGGTGCTCGTCAATCAGCTGTTCGAGGGTGCGTTTTCGGGAGGCCCAACGACCAAACCGGCCTTCGATCAACTTTACTGTCCACTTCGTGACGGGCAAGTTGCGTCTGGCGTTGGCCAGCAGGCGACATTCGAAGAAAAGGTGTTCGACGGTGTGGGTGTTGGTGCCACAGGGACACATGGGTGAGTCGGCGAGCTACCACGCAGAAGAAAACGGTTAGCCAGGCAATGATCGAGGTTCCGACAACGAGGTTTGGACGCGCGACACGCGGGAAAACAGAGGGAGAAGAGAGAAAGGGCAAAGAAGAATGAAAATGTTCTACATACCGTCCTCTTATACAGGTAGGAGTTGAGGCCGATGAAACCGGTCCTGCAATGAAGGATGATAGTGCTCTCAACTCGGGTCAAGTGTTGGTGGCGCTTGAGGTTGGAAGCGCCCCAGTCCCCCCTGGTTGCGAGTGGGTGGCAATGAGTCCCGTACCACGACTGCCGGGTTGAGCGTCGTTTTCGTTTTTCTTTGAACCACCACCAGATGTACCTGCAGAGAGTATCCGATTGCGCTTCGAGGTCCTCGTCCATAGCGATGCGCCGATCGACTGCATTATCCCACACGTCGGGAAGGCTCTTGCTCAGGTATTGATCCTTGGCTTTTTCTGCGAGCCGGGAGGCTGCTTGATACAGCTTAAAGTACGGCTGCTTTTTGAAGCATGGGCTCCTGGTGCTTTTGAAAGGGAATTTGGTTGTCTTTCCGATTAGAAGCTTGCCATCTTCGGCCATGGAGTTGCAGGCACGATGACTCATTGCCATACGTTGGAGATAGACGGCAATCGGCTCCATGTTGACTTCTTTATGGAGGGGAAGGCTTGATGTCTTGGAAAACACGCCGGCAAAGACCCGGAGGCAGCCGGTCTGAATGGCATCGAGCTTGTCGATCAACGTTTGGTTCAGGCCGTAACCTTTTGCCTCTATGCTGTGGACGACAAACCAGACTGGACAGGCGTACGCAATGATTGGACGGATGCTGGTCGCGTAAAGTTGGCACATCTTCAGCAACGACGGGCCCGAAACGCTGCTGATTTTCCGCTTCATGTAGTCCATCTTCCGGTTGACCTTTTCCTTTATCTGTTGACAGTGAGGTCAGCAATGCACATATTACACAGACCTCCTGGGCTCATGTCGGTGTCTTGGAAAATAACTTACCTGGTGGACGTGATACTTCCATGACAATTGGTGGTCCAACCAGACGCCTAGGACACGGAGGTTGCCATCCTTGTTCGTTGCTGGTTCCTTGGCTTCCCGCACAAGAGCCGTTCTCTCGTCCAAGTGCTCGATTTCAGGCAGCTCTGTGCAGAGAGGAAGACATCCATTACCTCCCCTCCGTGGGCGAAAGTGCATGACTTTGTACTTGGTGGGATCGAATAGTAGCCCACGTGGTTGTGCCCAGGATATCAGCTTGTTGTGCACCTCGGCCAGCTTCTTGCAATTGAACGTGGAACACGTAGACGTGATCATGATGCAAGTATCATCGACGTAAGAGGCACTGGTGAGGATGTACTTGGAACGACCCAGCTTTGCCTCGTTGTCAAGTATCCGCAGCATCGGTGCCGTGAACAGGACAAAGAGAATCGGAGACAGTGGGCTCCCCTGAGGAATGCCAATGCGGACCCAGAACTTGGGTGAGGTGAAGCCTGGAAGCACAACCGAGGTGGAACGGTCAGAGACGAAAGACTTGATGTAGTGCACAAGCCATTTGGGCACGCCCACGTCGATGAGAATGTCGATTAGCTCAAGGTGTTTAACGTGATCGTAAGCGCCAGACACGTCAAGAGCCAACATGCTAGTCCGCCACTTCTTCTTAGTGGTTCTCGCGCAGAATCCGTCCACGATCCCGCTGACAAGATGCTCAACTGCCTTGGGAGCGCTCTTTCCAGCGAAGCCGTATTGGCTGAACGGGATCAGGTCGTACTTGATAGCAAGTTCTTTGATGTAATCAGCGACGAGTCGCTCTAGAACCTTCCCAATACAGGGAAGCAGCGCAATGGGCCTGTAGTTCTTCGGATCTGTATAGTCGCTTTTCCCCTCTTTTGGGATGACGATAGTGATTGACTCCTTGAAGCAGACCGGGTGGTAGTGGAACTTGATGCAGGCATTGAAGAGATGCAACAAATAGGGCAACAGGACGTCTATCGCTATCTTCAGAGCTGGATTTGGAATCTCGTCTGGGCCAGGGGCTTTGCTGGCAGGCAGTCTCTTCACGATCTTCCGAACTTTTTGACGGTTGAGCTTAGGAGGGGGCTCCGATTTCAGCTTAGCCAGCCGTTCTCGCTCCTCGTGAGAGATCCTTTTCTTCTTAGGTCTGCTCCGGGCCTTTTGGGATACGGGAGGGGAACCGGCAGATAGCGGAGGGTCGGAAGCGGAGGCGGAGGGAGAGTCGGAGGCGGAGGGAGAGCTGGGAGCGAAGGGAGAGTCGATTGATTGGGATGACACCGAATCAGCTAATGCGCTAGCCATATGGTTGCTGGGGACGTCGGAAGCTAGATTGTCTGAACTTGGGTGGTCAGGAGGCTTTTGCTGCGAAGGCTTGACGTTTCCCCTCAAGCCACCAGGCTTTGAGTTGGACCTTAAAACCCTTGATTCCCTGGCAGGAGGAACAAAGCGATTGCCGCCATTCATGCTGACGCGCCTTTGATGTTTTTTCTTGGCGGGTTTCTTGCCCCCTTGGGCTCTGGATGTTGTACCCTTCTGACCCTTGCTGGGAGAGGGCTCCGGATGTTGAGATTCGCCACATGTGGTACTGTCTGCATCGGGCATCGAACAGTCGTCCTGGGTTGACATGTCGATGTTGGAAAGCGGGGATCCAGGAAACGGAGGTTCCTCATGCGTGAGTAGCGAACCCGGGGTAGGAACAGAAGAGTATGTATCAAATGCGCAAACGATTGTACTGGTATCGGGATGATCAAAATCGTTCTCGGCGGGGCGACTGGCGGCACCCGAGGGAGAAGGGTGATGAAGAGGTTCGGGAGAGGGCCGAGACGGTTGAGGTGTCGAGCGGGGTGGTGGCGTTGAGGATTGACGATGCCGAGACTCTTGCTTTCCCTTGCGTTTCTTGGATGTACAGGGCCGAGATTTTGGCTTTGCCTTGGGTCTTGCTGATCTTTCGGCATCTAAGGCCTCCATGCGAGATTCGATGTGCCGACCCAAGGCTGTTGCCTCTCCCGCCGGGGGCAGAGAATCGCTGGTTTCGTCAAATAGTTTGCTACGTAAAACATGAGCATTCTCTGCTTGGCTCTGACAGAAGGTACCGTCGGCGGTCTTGAGATACTGCAAGTGGGGAGGCATCTGTGTGAGAGCCGTCCTGCGAGCCTGAGCCATTATCTTGTGAAGACTCACCAGGCCTTCAGACAGATTAGCGGCACGATTGCGGGACGCAACCGTATTGGCAATCGTCGAAAACCTGTTGGTTTCCTTGATCGCAGCCACCCACTTCTCGTAACGCTCGTCATATGCCAAATTGTCTCGACGCGTATCGTGTAAGGCCCGATTTGCATGCAGCTCTGCGTCAAAAGCCTCTATTAGTTCGGCAAGCTGAGGATGCTGATTCCTGGTCTCTGATGCGTTGAGGTCAATGGTCGGCACCATGTCCTTGACAGTCTCCATCAAAGCTTCACAGAGATTCTGTGCAAATGCCTCTGCAGCGTTGCAGTCGACAAGCTCAGGGATTGCTTCGGGGTCACCGAGAGCAAGCTGCAATTTCTTGTTGACGCTATCCTGGAAATCCTCCTTGTTGACCTTATCAAACCGGTACATCTTCCGAGGGCGTCGGTCGACTTGCAGGTTCAACCTGGTGTGGATGACCGCATGGTCTGTGTAACTGTTTTTGATTTCGCGCGGCCTCTCAACACTACAATTGACCAATTGATGCCGAATCACGTTTCCCAATACGGTCAGGTCAATGTTGGTTGCAACATCTTCTTTTCGTTTTGCCGCTTTGCGCCTGTAGGTGACCTTTCTCTTGTTGTATGTTGGTCGGATATCCATGCTGCGTTCGAGAAACGCCTGCGACATGTATCTGCCACATTTTTCAGGCTCGCTGCCAGGATCCCAAATGGAGTGGGCGTTTGAATCGCAAAAGATGGCAGAATTGCTACCCAGGACGTCGAAACCGAGTCCGGGGGCTGGGGTGTTGAAAAGGTGCTCAAGGTCAATGCTCTCTCCCGGCTTGCGGTTGTAAAAATTTGTGAAATACACTTCGGAGCCGTCGAGCAAGCGGAGGAGCATGTAAGCGACGTATCCCTTGTTCACTCCCTCGTCCCAAGTGACCTCCCACGACTTCGGATGTATTGCCGTGGAAACATAAATGGCAACCCTTCTGGAAACAGGCTTTGGTTCGTCGTCTTCCTCGTCCTGCGAGTTCTTGGATTTGTTCTTGGCCGCCCTGGAGTTCCTGGGTTTGTTCTTGGCCGCCGGAGAAGTCTTTTGTTGGTCTTTGTCCTTGTCAGACTTGGGTCGTATCCAGTCACTTTTGCTTACGAGGTGGTATTTTGGCAGATGAATTTTTGCAACGTTGTACGGAGGATCTTGAATCATGAGCATGGTTGGTCGCGTCTTGCATTCGAATCCCTTGGCATATTTGCCCAGGTCCCTGACCTTGGATTCCATCTTGTTGACATTGTAAGAGAAGATGTCCAGCATAGGCCGAGTAGTCCCTGTCCTGGGGTCCTACGGAGGGTATCGGGTTAGACAAACGTGCGGAAATAGAGAAATGGGATGTGTATGTGTATACCTGTTCCATGACGTGGCTCAAGTTGGGTAGTTCATAATGCTCGGGGGGTTCCAAGTCATACTGCGCGGACTCTGCGCCGGCAGGGGCGGCAGAGCCGTGGCGTTCCGGCTGGTCGTCTGACGGTACTTCAGACATGTTCTCGGAGATGGATTGACGTGTGCGTGAGGGTTGACTGCCACGCTGCGATGTGGTGGGCGGCGACAAGCTTTGGCGAGCAGCTCTGGAGTCGTCCCCACCCGCTGATTTCAGCGGCTGGGGACGATTGGCACGACGCGACTTGGCCAGATTTCAGGGCGTGCGTAAATTGAGAGGGCGAGAGGATGAGGCCGAATCAATCGACAGAATATGATGCTCAGCGGGACGTTGCACACCCAAAGCCCGGAGGTGATAATGCTGGTGATAATGCTGGTGATGCTGGAAATTGGTAGGCAGTGCGGCGTGTGTGCGGTCCTCTGCAAAGACTGCGGTGGGTTGCGGTGGAGAGAGCTGCGAATCTTGCCCCGCCTGTCGATAAAACCTCACCGCAAAGAGGTGGAGGAGGTTGAGTGGGCGGCAACAAGGGTCAACTTGGACTTCATTTGCTGTTGGCCAAGCGACAAAGTCTCCAGAGGGTTCGACAAGAAAGAAAGCTGCGGCTGCGGCCTTCCCCTCTTGCTTCCGTATCCTCCGTTCTTCCTTCCTTCCCATCCTTCCTCCGTTCTTCCTCCTTTTTCTTCCTTCCTCCTCTCTGTGTCTCTCTGTGGCCTTCAACTCTTGCTTCCACTCAACGCACCTGTCTTTTCAACCAACCCTGGTCTTTACCCTTGCTACACCTACCTCCTCCACCACGATGCCTCCAAAAAGGAGAAAGAAGACGAGTGTGGCATCTCCACCGGCGGAGTCCGACAACGACGAATCTGAATATCAAGGGAGCGACGTGTCCATGGCAGATGCAACCCCAGACGACCAACCCGAGGCTTCTGCCAACAAACCGGCAAACAACGCTCCAAATCCCACCACCAGGCGAGCAAACAAGAAGAAGCCCAAGCGAAGGCCTGCCAATGAGCAAGAGTTTGGCTACGGCCAGCTGCACCAAGAGTTCGCAGCCTTCAGACGTCTCTTCCAAGTGTTCTTGGATCGTACCATGCCGCAGGGCGATGGCAGCACCGCCATGGATGTTGCCACGAAGCCGCTCTCGAGCCGCAGGCCAGAGTGCGTTGTCAAGACATCTTTTGAGCCAGCTGAATCCCGGAAAAAGTTCACCGGCTACTACACCGAGTGGATCAAAGCCTTGAAGCAGCTTGACAACGTCTACCACCAAGTCAGAGAGATCTTTGTGTACGACGATTACGTCAACTTTACCTTCAAAACCCCAGACGCCGCCAAAAGTTTCACGCCTAACAAGGAGGATATGTTCAAGGCGCTTGGTAGTGAGACCCCAGTCAGCTGCTTCCAGCGGGCCGATGAGCACTACTACGTGGAGCTCTTCTTTCGTGGTCGCGATTTCCGCCATACCCACGCCAGTGACGCTAAGAAGATGCTCGCCGAGTTGGGGCTGGATTCCGACAAGTTCTCGGTGATGTTCAGGGAAAAACGCCAAAGGTTTATTGCCAAGTTCACAGACATGGCAGAGGCCGATAGGCTGCTTGAACTGTATGAAAACGAAGGTGGAACTCAAGGCGAAGGGCTTCTGATCGATTACTCGTACGCTCACTTACGGTTTGTTCTCTTCCTCTCCCTCTCCGTAACGTGGCACCGCTGATGCGAACGTTCACAGGCCTATCGATATCCGATCGGTGGGGATGAACTGCTTCCACTGTAAAAAGGCCGGCCACATGATGAAGCGCTGCCCAGACAAGGATGAAGACCCCACGTGTGGATGGTGTGGCGGTCGGGGCCACGGCCACGGCGCCTGCACTTCGACGGTCCCCCGGTGTGCTGCCTGCAAGGAGGAGCATTGCACGCAGTCTGTCAATTGCATGGACCGGAATCGCCGGCTGCATCTGCTTGCTTGCGCCAAGTTTGGTCCGCCAGCCTGGCCATCGCATGCAAAGTCTCTACGACCTCATGGGAGGCGAGATGAACAGTCTCGAGACGTTGACTCTGGTTCTTCTGGGTCTGCCGGTGTCTCTGGGTCTGGTCTCAGCCTGCTGCTACCTCTGGGTCTCCATCTTCCCGAGGCAAACGGAAGCGTGTCCAACAGCCAGACTCTTCCACAGTCTCTGGCGCAGTGTCCTCCCCACGAGCAAAAGTCGTCGTCGGAAGCGTGTTGTCTCATTGGTCAGCGCAAATGCGGATCTGGAACCCCTGCCACCCACCCGCAATTTTGGCTTTGCACTGTGGGATTCCTCCGCTGTGGATTGTCAATCTTCGCTCGCCGCACCGGTGCCCACCCAAGTCCGGTCTCAACCCCACGCGCCCTGTCCCACTGCCACTCGCGCTGCCGCTCCCGCTCCAGGCTTTAGTCCCGGTCTCAACCCCGATCGACACGCAGCGACACAGATTCACCACAACGTGCCCCGACGTATCTCTCAGGCATCTGATGTACCCCGATACGTCCTGATGCTCCCTGCCCCACCACATTCTAACAAACCCGCACCAAACGATCTGGGCCCCCTCCCGCAGTCCGCTCCCGGTCTCGCTCCAGGCTCCGGCTCCCGGTATCGACCCCGACCTGCTGCGACCTGTCCCGGTACGGCTCTCGGGGCTCTGATGTGCTCCAATATGCGCCGGAGCGCGCCGACCCACCTCCGGTCAAAAACCCCGCTCCAGTCAGTCGGGGCACCTCCCGCAGTCCGGAACCTCTCCCGGCCCCGTCCTCCGTCTCCGAGTCCCGATTCTAATCGATCTGGATATGACCTGATGCGGCTCTAAGGGCCCTGAGATGCTTCCGTGCGCCCTGACGCTTCCTGCCCCGCCGGAAGCCAAGAAATCCCGTCGGGACAATCCGGAGCCCCTCCCGGAATCCGGGCACCGCCGGGCCGTACTGGCGCGCCACGAAGCCAGGCCGTCAAACACACAATTGAGTCCCGACTGCACACGAGGCATGGCGTATAGATTTCCGGCAGGGCAAATCTACCTGGATCAACTCCCGACTCGTCACTGATTCCTGGGCTGCCCGCCGACCACTCCCCGAAGTCAACACCGGGTCCCACAGCACGAGTGCCGCATCAGCAGTCACCGTCTGTCCCAAAACTAGGGCCTCCGGTTTACATGCCACTTCGACCCACCGGGCAAATTCGTAAGGGACCGCCCGAAAAGGTTCCCACGTCTCTTTTCCGTCCGGGCGTCTGAGGCAACCGTCTGGACCCATTGATGCCGGCGTCCAGGACTCCCGGCAGCTGGAGACACATCTGTCTCTGGCACTCTCTACAGACCGCGCCAGGATTCTGTGGCTGTCCGGTTCTTCCCACAGAAATAAAAGTGGACCGTCCGGTCATCTTCTTCTCCTTAGCTCCATACAGCTACCCTCCAACCTGTGATTGATCCATGCCCTCTGGCAGGTTTACATCCTAGGTCTAGCCTTTGGTCTCCCCTCAGCTCTCTATTCGGCCAGATTGGCTAAAGAGCCCTAGATCGATCAGAGGGCCCAGAGGCCAAGAGTATCAATAGTAGTTCGAAAGGGTGTACGCCAGAGATGTCCGATGCTTACAGCTAGCTTCTGGGCCTTTGAGGGGCGCGGAGGGCTGGGTGCCACTAAAGACGTCCACGGGTTCCTCACGTTTCGCCGACTTGGTGACCTCCCACGGTGACAGCATGGTACATAATGGGACGTGCCGAACTACACCCACCCGTCACACCCTCAACCTACATCCCAAGGCCGTGATGATTGCATACACTTCTGATATACACTCCCCAGCACATACTCTGGCATCTCTCGGTGCCCCCTAGCTTGCTCTGCCGATCGCCCTGCTAGCCGCAGGACCTTGAATACTTTGGCAATGCCTATGTGTTTTGCAAATCCTTCTTGAGCCTCAAAGGGGCACACGGCTGCTATGTAGCGCACGTTTTCACGCACGCGACCAGCGGCGCTCAACAAATTCCAAATACCTTCTTTAGGTCGATTCCCTCTTGTTGACGCGACATTTGGATCACAGGGACTGGTCTAGGACAAGACCTAATAAGGCAGAGAAAAGAGCCTTGGCCTAAGCACGATACAGACAGAGGACCCGTATAACAGACACAATTCTTAGGCAGGGCTGTGAGCGTCCAAGCAGAGTGTCCTGGCTAGCTATGTACCAGGCCCGGAAAGCTACAGAGCCCAATGAGGTCTTCAAAAAGCGATACAAAAAGCGATAGGGAGAGCAACTAGCAGGCTTTTTGACCGGCCTCGTGGTGGCTTCACGGGCGACGAAGACTAGGTGTGGTTTAAGACGCCCCGACAGAATACCCATGTTCTGCATAACGACTATGAAGGCTTCCAACATACCTAGTCCGGCGTTGGTCGTGTGCTTGCTCCACTGCTCAAAATCACTTTCACCTCTAACTTGACTTCTAACTTAAACCCTCAATTTGTGAACGAATCTAGGCGATTACGTCTCATTTGATACCAGTCGTATTGCTGCCCTTTTCTGAATCATGCGCAATGCACATACACGGAAATCCGACCATCACAACCCCCTGTTCCATCAAGTGATTGAGCCGTCAGGCGAGGAACCACGATCATGTCTCCATCACTAGCTGTCCAGCAAAACTTTGATTTTCAACTCCGAGGCTCCGTCTAAGCGAGCTCTGTCCAGACGTCAGGTTCTTGTTGATGCAGTTCCGTCAAATAAGCTTAGCTAGGTTAATTTGGATATTATACTGGTCAGGATGAGCCCCATCAATGATAAAGCTGACAAGAAGCGGAAGGGCTCCAAGCAACCAAGACTCGCGGGGAACACACATCATGCCTCGCGGAATTCAAGTATCATACCTTCGGCTTCACGGCTCCCTATGTCATATCAAACGTGACATAAATTTGTCTTTTCTAGAAATTCAAGAGAGCCACGCCATTTTCTTTCCATCGACTACGCCCAACTCCAAGGACCCAATGCCAAAGACGCTAAAACCGCCAGCTCTCAATTTCTACCGAACCGCCAAAGGTTCCATGGACGTCAGTAGGGCAAATCCCCAATGCCATCTACTAGATGGCGTTCGCCGTCGAGTCAGTATTCAAACCCCAAGCTTTCCGTTCCTGGAAAATTGCCATATTCGAACGAACGGACACATCCCGACTCGTGCTGCAAAACCTAACTCCTAAAGCTGGTCCCTGTCCGGGGATAAGCGTCTCCAGACAAACATCGCTTAGAGTTCCTCTTTCTAATGAAAATAAGAGAATTCTATACCTGTCGAAACACCAAAGACCCAAGCGACGTTTTCTCGATACACGAGGGACATACGATTTGTGCACGAGGGCCCCCGCATAGTCGTATTGTGCATTATCAACGGTTCTATTAGAGTTTGGTGATGGTCGCAATCGGGCTTTCAGGTTGCCGAATTTTAACATTTTGTTCAAAAATACGAACAAACTGATTGCTTAAATACCAGGCTAAGGTCCGAATGTACATTCAAACTTCGAGCCCTGATCCAATCAATTCGACGAACAAGCACCCAATTCGGTATTGAACCACAACTTTGCGGCGTTGACTTACTCAACCAGCAACGTCAGTTGCCCAAGACTCTCAGCCATTCTTCTTGCTTCCACCGCGGTCTGTCTAATATCATTCACAGATGAATTACTTCGCTCTCATCGCAGCCATGATGGTATCTGCCGTCCTCGCCGCTCCGACTCCGACCAAGTAAGCAGTTCATCCATAGGTATATCTTTCGATATCGACTGAATCTGACACCGAAATACAGAGAACAACTCGAGGTTCGCGACAAGCCTTGCTGTCACAATTTCCCGGGAAAGGGCGGCGGCCACTAGGCTGGCTTCAAGCGCATGAAGGCTGTTTCTAGCAGAGGCTGTGGCGACAGGCGCGAGCTTGCAGATACCAACATAACTACATCTCACAGACAAAACGGATGACACAGAACATTTCGGGGTAGGATATTGCGTGAATCTGGACGGAATACAAACCAGATTCATTGGTTCACTGTAGTCTTCCCTCGCGGGTGAGCATTGAGTCCGACAATCTCAGACAAGGCCAGGGTGAAAACTGCGCACAGTCTGCTGTCATCGAATGACGAGAGGTTCATGTAGAGCTGGGTAGTTGTATGCCCATTGAGCCCGGCTGTAGTCTGTACACACCTGTGTGCATGGCAGCTCTGAGCGCAAAATCAGTCAAGCAATGAGTAAGATGAACAATAAATCTGGGCAGTGACATATTTATGAGCAAATGTAGAATACATGTCTCCAGCACCGCGGCCGAAAGGGCACATTCGTCGCCGCAAACGGGGCACATAAAGCGCTCACGACAGCATGATGACGACGGAAATTACTCAACAGCTTATCGCGCAGGAGGAAAGATGCCAACAGCGTTCCAGATTCACGTCCTGCGACACAGCTGCAGCGTACGCGTAATGATCACACATCAGCAAGAACCCCCCCTTTCGTGCCTCGAAAAAGGGGGTCAAATTGTTCAATCGACCAGGAATGCGCTCATATTCAATAATGGAGGGCGTTCCACGTTTTGAGGGAGACAACAGGAATGAGAAAAGCGCCGCAGCCGTGGGGGTAAAAGCAGGGATGGATGTGGCTAGCGGGGAACTATTGTCTTAGATGGTTGGTGGCTTTTGGATGGCTTATGAATTTGGACTAGCCCCATCTTGACTCGATCG